TATGATTCAGTTTTAGAAATACAGATGAGCATGGGCACAACCCTAAGCTTCTCTTATCACAGCTTGGATAAGAAAGCTGTAGCTGCCTCATACTGTGTTACTGACTTATACATGCGTTTGATGGTCACCTGAACAGCAAACAAAAAGAAACATAGTAACAATTAGAGAAAAAAAAAGTAAGAAAGATGCTTTCTTATTTTGTTTTTTCATGCAGATACAGATAGACATTTACTATGTGATGCCACAAAATGTTACAATTCCCACAACTTTTTCTTTTACTTTATTGGATACGGTGAAATTTGTTTATTAATCAGCAGATTTACCGTGTTATAGTGCTGTTAATGTGTAACGTTTTATGTTGCAGGAGCGGGATGGAATGCGTGCCATATTAGAGTCCTATGACAGCGAGCTGGCGCCTACTGAGTACTCTCCTCAACTGAGCAAACGACTCAGGGAGGCCGAGGACATACTGCAGAAGACACAGAGCCATAATGCAGAGATGGAGGTGTGTCTGCAGGCGTGCATAAATATACTTTTTTTTGTCTCCTGCTCTTTGTTTTGTTTTTCAAAGTTGAATTTGAAAGTACTGACTTCCACTAAGCTGCCGACCAGATTATTATGCATGTAGCTGTTTGACACATGGCTCGTAGCTGAGGGCACAGTAATTGCATGCTACTTAGCTTCAGCTGCTTGTTGTTTACATCCTCAATACTCTTGTTTAGCGGACAGACTGAAACACATCTACAGTGAAAATGGATAATACTGGACTTACGTTGCAGAGATTTTCTTTTAATTCCCTCAGTTTGACAGAATTGCCATGTTTAAGTGCAGAACCCCAGTTTGAGTCTCTCCAATTTTGCCCTTTTAAAGTTACTGCATTATGCTGTTTACACTGTGACTCACTTTTGAAAGAGATGGGCGAAATACCTTGAATTTCTCTATGAACTTTTTATTTTAATAATCAGCCAACAATCACTGTGAATTTGGCAGTTGCTGTGCTGAAACAGGAATCGGCACTAACCTAGCACCCCCTGCACTCGTAGTGTCACAGCTTGGCTAATCTAACATGAAGGTTAATAAAATGCAGCTTGAACTGTAAGAAAATGGAACAAACACAAAATCTGCATTATGACACAAAGCTTTGCTATTGCGATCCTACAAGATCCACAACACACTGCCTTAGGACACTACAATACAATATATTACAAATCATCATACAAATCATAACCCATGAAAGACCTAGTATTTTGGTTGATAACAACTCATTTCTCAACAGGGATGTTATTTTGAAGTACTAACTGGCTTCTTTCCTTTGTTTTTTGGAGGGCTATTACTCCATATCAGTAGGCTAGGGTCATTTTTCTTTTTGCTTCTACATTATATTTCTTTTGTCCTGTTAATTCAGGCTCAGCTGACCAAAGCGCAGGAGGAGACAGGGACACTAAAACTGCAGCTACAAACAGTAAGTGTACCTGCAATCCTGTTTGTTTTTTTTTTGTTTTTTTTTGTTGTTGTTGTTGTTGCAACATGCCGTTTCTATAAAAGGCACAGGCATTTTTCACCAGTCAAGTAATTAGTAGCCAAAGTATAAGCAGTATCAACCAGTTTGGAGACATAGATCCAAAAGCACAATCAGTCTATTTTTGCAAAAAGCGTTTGAGATGTAGCTAGCTAATTTCACATATAGCAGTTACAAAAGGATGATAAGAGCATAACCAGCATCTATGATTGTATGAATGTAGACTATGTGAAATTAAAGGAAAGTAGCATGTGTGTGCACCTTTGGGTGGCCACCAGTATCATGTGCCCACTGTCCTGGAGGCTCCAGGTTAATAATTGATATAATTAGAACAAGAGGGAAGGCAGACTTCAGTAGCAGGAGGTGGGAATCATGCATCTTTACTTACAATCTGTTGAAGTTACCTACACAGCATGCATATATAACTCCATTTAATTAATTAAAGCACTTTGTGACTCTGTTCCAGTCTGTTGCAGTGAAGAGACAGCTGAGCGTCAGTGTGTAGCCATCGATTTACTGGTTGATTTACCTTTCTGCCGTCACTGAATACCCCAAGATTTGGGCAGTGACTGAAAGAATAAAATCTCATATACAGTGGCTTGCAAAAGTATTCGGCCCCCTTGAACTTTTCCATATTTTGTCACATTACAGCCACAAACAAGAATCAATTTTATTGGAATTCCACGTGAAAGATCAATGCAAAGTGGTGCACACGTGAGAAGTGGAACAAAAATCCTACATGATTCCAAACATTTTTTACAAATAAATAACTGAAAAGGGGTGTGTGTGTAATTATTCAGCCCCCTGAGTCAATACTTTGTAGAACCACCTTTTGCTGCAATTACAGCAGCCAGTCTTTTAGGGTATGTCTCTACCAGCTTTGCACATCTAGAGACTGAAATTCTTGCCCATTCTTCTTTGCAAAACAGCTCCAGCTCAGTCAGATTAGATGGACAGCGTTTGTGAACAGCAGTTTTCAGATCTTGCCACAGATTCTCGATTGGATTTAGATCTGGACTTTGACTGGGCCATTCTAACACATGGATATGTTTTGTTTTAAACCATTCCATTGTTACCCTGGCTTTATGTTTAGGGTCGTTGTCCTGCTGGAAGGTGAACCTCCGCCCCAGTCTTTTGCCAAACTCCAACAAGTTTTCTTCCAAGATTGCCCTGTATTTGGCTCCATCCATCTTCCCATCAACTCTGACCAGCTTCCCTGTCCCTGCTGAAGAGAAGCCCCCCCAGAGCATGATGCTGCCACCACCACATTTGACAGTGGGGATGGTGTGTTCAGAGTAATGTGCAGTGTTAGTTTTCTGCCACACATAGCGTTTTGCATTTTGGCCAAAAAGTTCCATTTTGGTCTCATCTGACCAGAGCACCTTTTTCCACATGTTTGCTGTGTCCCCCACATGGCTTGTGGCAAACTGCAAACGGGACTTCTTATGGTTTTCTGTTAACAATGGTTTTCTTCTTGCCACTCTTCCATAAAGGCCAACTTTGTGCAGTGCACGACTAATAGTTGTCCTATGGACAGATTCCCCCACCTGAGCTGTAGATCTCTGCAGCTCGTCCAGAGTCACCATGGGCCTCTTGGTTGCATTTCTGATCAGCGCTCTCCTTGTTCAGCCTGTGAGTTTAGGTGGACGGCCTTGTCTTGGTAGGTTTACAGTTGTGCCATACTCCTTCCATTTCTGAATGATCGCTTGAACAGTGCTCCTTGGGATGTTCAAGGCTTGGGAAATCTTTTTGTAGCCTAAGCCTGCTTTAAATTTCTCAATAACTTTATCCCTGACCTGTCTGGTGTGTTCTTTGGACTTCATGGTGTTGTTGC